CCCCCTAAACCCTAAACCTATAACCTAACCTATAAGCCCCTTTAAGGCTAAATGGACCCCTGGGTTACTGTAGAATCAGGCCAAGGCACCGCAAGAGGCCTCAACCACGAGTTCATGCCTGCGCCACATGCGAGGTTATCAAGGGCTTGATACGGCAAATCTGAAACCCTAAACCCTAACCCCAAACCCTAAACCCTAACCAAAACCCAAAATCCGAAACCCTAAGCCCAATTCGGTGAGCTGTCCAGCTTCAAGGCACTCACTGGGGTAACCTGCCCGCCGCCACCCACTGTGGCTTGCGACGTGGCTTTCGGAGAGTGACCCAACGGCAGCCAATCTATGGCGTCCAAGGTTGGGGAAACCCTAAACCCTAAACCGGTAAGTAAGCATTTTCATCTCCAGGCTTCGCTATATCTCACGCCATCGTCGTACTCGGGCGGAACGATGAAATACTGTTGTGGCCATGCCTACTCTCTTAGCAGCCTTTCTGATTCCTCGGTGCGTACATATACAGTCCTCCGAGGATCTTGCCTGGACGCCCTGTAAACACAACGCAAGTTGCTTGCTGGGGGTTAGTAGGGAATGAGGGAATATATTATATAGGGATTATATGAAGAGTATATTCCCTTACTCCTTACTAACCCCCAGTAAGCTTGGGTACTACCCCGTTGCGATGTACTTCGTGAGCTACCCCAAGGGTCCATGTTGGTGTATAGTATACACCTTAGGGCCCCAAGGGGTTCCCATGTAGCTACTTTAAGGCCCACGTGTAGACTACATACCTACCCTAGACCCTAAACCCCAAACCCTAAACCCTATACTATATAGCTACATGGGCCCTTTGGCTACAGCCCTCATTGGCGACGCGCCGCAGGGCGTTGCAACGTCTCCTCGCCTCCAGGCGCAGGATTGATGGTCAAATCAGCCTTGCTTACTGGTGGCTAGTAAGGAATAATAAAATAGATTCCCTATAATACCTACGTCTATATACATGTGTATATAAATATATATATATATGTATATGCTTGTTCCCTTCTTCCCTACTAACCCCAGGTAAGCTTGTGTCAACGCTTTTCTTCTGCAGCCAAACAGCCAATGCGGGCCGCGCTCTAGCGTTTACAATATGGGTTGGGTACTGCCCCCCCCCAGTAACAGTCTATATTAGGGGTCCTATTAAGGGCTATATGTAACCCTTTTATAAATATTATCCAACTGTTAGTGAGGGGGGGGGCTGGACAGTACCCATTTATGGGAAAATTTAGGCATGTCTCATATTAGTTTGGCCCCAACCAGGGTTTGAGAGACACGCAGATGAATGGACTCAAGGTTTGTCAACATACGTCACTCCGCGGTTTAGGGTTGGGCCAATATTTCCCCAGGGATCCATGTCTACAAATAATACCTCCGTGGGGCCCTAAACGCTACAATATAGCATATCACCTACATTGGGCTATTTGGCTCCCTAGGGTTTGTTTCTCTTCAACCCAAGACATGGAAACATCCTGCAGAAAATGAGCTGCTGCTGCCAGCCGAGACTCTGACTTGAAAATCGAAAAGCCGAAAGATCTGGAGCCGCATCTCTAGAGTCCCACTTAAGTAGATATAGGGATTAGGGTTTAGGGCATAGTCCCCCTAAGTAGATGATGGAACAAACGGTAAATGGGGATCTCATGATGATATTGGGCAAATCCGTATTCGAAGGGGTATTATACTCTTTCCAACCAGCACCATCATCGCGGCCACCGCAACAACAAAGGCCCCAACCCACCTGTTATTGAAGCTTCGTTGCTATGGCCTTCAGGCTCTTGATTTGGAACCCTCTGCAGGTGGCCTGGAGGGCTTGAACCCTAAACCCTAAACCCGAACTTGCCTGTACTTGCCACCCTAAACCAATACATGAGCATGTCAGCATGTGTCCTGCAAAACCCACAAGACCGTGAGGGAGAAGCGTGACTTCTTTTCAATACTAAGGTAGTATATGGGTAATTTTAAGGTAATATATGGGTATTGGGGTAAGATTAAGGTAATATATGGGTTATGTTGGGGTAATATTCAGGAAATACATGGGCCTTCGTTGAAGCCGAAGGCGTCGTCGGGGCCTGGGTGAAGCGAAGGCGTCATCAAGCCCAAACCCTGAAGCTAAGCTCAAATTCCAAACAGCCCCTTACGTCTATGCCTTAAACCCGGGAGCTACCCCAGAACGGCCCTGTAAAGATCATTGTTTCTATAAAACGTGCGCCATGCTAGTTTGGGGGAGGGGAACTGCCTTCAGAAACGGTTTGGGGATTCAGGGTTTAGGGCTAGATATGTAGTTCTCTTCAGGATCTCTATGCTAGACAGTTATTACTGGGTTGCTGTTAAGGAACTTAATTTAAGTTACTATATTGGGGAAACCCTATTATTTACTATGTTTCCCCAATATAGTAACTTAATTTAAGTTCCCTAACAGCAACCCAGATTATGTTGGGGCTTAGTTCTATACCCTTCCTTTACCTCGCCCTGGGAGCCCTCCACTGAATATCTCAAGCTCGGGAACTCCGGTAATACTCTCCACCCCCCCTAACATCAAACATTATCACGGTGGTATCTCGCAGTGTGTATAGATAGATAGATAGATAGATAGATAGATAGATAAATATGTATGTATATATATATATATCGATACAAATTGGGAAAATTTATTATCTCAAGCTCAGGAACTCCGGTAATAACCTCTATGAGCCCCTTTCAAGGTACGCCCCTAAACCCTAGACCCGTATCTCAAGCTCAGGAACCCTGGTAATATTCCCCCCCTTAACATCAAATATTCATAGTGTGGTATATTCTATATATATGTATATATTCATATGCATATATATATATATACATATTGGGTCAAGCTCAGGAACTCCGGTAATCACCCCTAAAAACCAATTCAAAGGTACCCCTAATTTTGGGAAACCCTAAGCCCTAAACCCTGAACCCATATGAG